GAGATATGTCCACGAGATATGTCTCCAAGAATATAAACATAATAAAATGCTTGGTATCTTTGAATATTCTGAGAAGAAGGTATTTAGAATGTTAGATAAGAGTGTGGGAATCAGTTCATAAATGCTTATTTGCTCAGGCCAATAGTAACATTGTATCATTTCTGACCCCATGTCTTCAGAGACCTTACCTGATTTCACTCTTTCTTTGGCAACTCTGTCCAGGTACTATGTGAGAAACCCTGAGCTAGTCCACTGGAGAATGGGAGACCACTTGGAAGAGAATCAAGCCTTCCTAACTAGGGCTACTCAGGAGTAGCATCCATATCACCCCCAGCAGTTGATTTCACATACGTGAAAGACCCCAGCCAGGACTAAAAGAACTGTCCAGCTAAGCCCAGCCCAAATGACTGACTTGCAGAATCATGACCTAAATCAGGGATTGGCAAGCTTTTTCTGTAAAGGGTCATATAGTAGTAATTTTAGACTTTATGGGCCAAGACTATTATGAGAGTAGTCGAGACTATTATGTAGGTTAGCTTACATAACAAGAAAAACCATCTTCATAAATTTTATTGATGAAATTGAAAATAATGATAATATTTTCAGTAATAAATCTAGTGGCAGTAAAATTCTTTTTGAGGAGATTTGCATTTTGCTTTATTACGGTTCAAAATTAGATATCACCATCATGAAAATGGTTGCAAAACTCACTTATTAATGCTGATATATAATGAGATTCTATATATTTCATCTTTAAAAATGTCTAGCACAGAACAGTACTATCAAATATCATTATCAGTCAGTGAGCATGTGATTTTAATATAGCGTGTTCATTACTTGAGAAGCATACATTTAGCATGTCCTTACAGTGCAGATTAATTACTTCCAGTTTAAAGTTTTTCAGCTGTGCAGTAAATGGATTTTGATATAGAGATATTTTATTTGCATTTTCATCAGTGCCTGAAAAGCACTGGTAGAACTTGGTTTGAACTCATAAATTTGTATAAGAATGAAAGTCTCACTTCTTTTGTTTAACTGTAAGGCAGCTTGGCTTGACTTAGGATTCGAACACTCGTTTTCTAAGGTGTATTTCCACAACCACATGCAACTGTTTAAATAATACATAATTGTGGAACATGCATACATTGTGCATAGAAAAGAAGCACATGGTTGCCCCAGAGAATTTTTGATACTATCATTTATAGTCCACAGACTAGAATTGAGTTGATTGCTGAGATCTGTTCCATAAATAATTCATCTGTGTTTACTATCCTTAACAAAATTGCACTGAGAAAAAACAAACAACCACAGATCTTTCATTAGTTCATGATCCTATGATTACTGAAATGTATGGTAGGTTAATGGATACCAAGGCATAACTATATTTTTAAGCAATAAGGAGGAAATAATATAAATCTTACACAAAATGTCACGTAAGTTTTTAGCCCCAAATGATATTCATCATGACCTATTTGTTATAGTATAGGAACTGATTCCAGTCATCCATGTTTTTAAGAAATTAGTATATTGAAAACTCTTTTTTCCACATTTAAAAACTAGCTGTGTGATCATTTGAATGTCATTTCCTGCATATATTTTAAATAAAAATATTTAAGATATATATGACAAGAAACATAACTGATACACTTTAACAAACCATAACATATGCAGATGGAAGTTGTCCCTTCCAAACTATTTGCCATATAGCAGTGATTCTCAACATCTAGATATGCCACTTATCACAGGATATCCACCCCGCACCCCCACCCCGCAGCCCCCAGTAAAGAATTATCAGTTGTGCTGAGATTGAGAAACCTGCCATGGAGAATATACCATGTCCCAATGGTGTAGCCATTACTAAAATATTCTGGAAAATACTCTTTCATAGTCACTTATGTGATTGTCGGTGGCAACTCTTTATTTCTTGTGAAGTATTTTTTATTTCATGCTAATTCTCATGTCTCATAGGGAATTCAACAAAACATGCAGGCATTTTGTATACATGCACATAAAACTCACTAATTATTTCCAGCTAATTCAGAATTTGGTCTGGTTAGAAAATGAATGGCTTAAACTTTATTTCCGTATTACATTTAAAGGAATTTTTTATTGACAAGTATTGTTTTAAGGATGGAATTCACAACCTTGACTGTCACCTAATTCCCAACTGGAGAGGAGAGTTGAAATAAGAGAAACTTTCCTTGAAAAAGGTTTTTTATCAGCTCAAATAGCAAAGAGGATTGTCAAAAATGTGGATTGAGCAGATAATATAAACTCTTAGTCCCCAAAAGCCAATGGAAAACAGATTAGCTAATTCTTCATGTTTTTTCTGGATCCCTTTTATTTAAATTGATGCTTTTGCTTTCAACCAAATAAATTTGATCGAATTTACTCATATAACCCCCTGCTAATTAGAAATTCTAGTTGAAGGGCATGTGGGTGGCTTAGTTGGTTGAGCGTCCAGTTAATGATTTGGGTTCAGGTGATGATCTTATGGTTCATGAGTTCTAGCCCCGCATCGGGCCTGTGCTGACAGTATGGAGCCTGCTTGGTATTCTTGGGATTCTTTCTCTCTCTCTCTGTGCCCCTCCCCTGCTCATGCTCTCTGTCTCTCTCTCTCCAAATAAATAAATAAACTTAAAAAAATTGTAGTTGCTATTTAATGTGGTATAGACTTGTCTTTTACATTCAAATAATCCTGGTCTATAATCTCTGCAGTTCTAAAATTCCAAAAGTCCTGAAACTTAAGGATTGTTATAACTCGGCTGTTGGCAAACCCTAACCAGAACTGATGTGAAGCTTTTTATACTTTTAATTTACACACACAGTGTGAATGTTTACTCTTTACTTCAGAACTATTAATGTGTTGTATTTCAGGGGGCTTATTAATATTTTTTGCATTTCCAAGATATGAAAATTTTCAAAGTTTGCCTGGGTGGCTTAGTTAAGCGTCTGACTTTTGCTTAGGTCATGATCTCGCGGTTCGTGGGTTCGAGCCCCGCGTCGGGCTCTGTGCTGACTGCCAGCTCAGAGCCTGGAGCCTGTTTCGGAGTCTGTGTCTCCCTCTCTCTCTGACCCTCCCCTGCTCACGCTGTCTCTCTCTCTCTCTCTCCTAGAAATAAATAAAAATATTTAAAAAAAAAACATTCAAAGTTCAAATTAGTGTGAAACCAGTAAGAATTGTAATAGTAGATTTTATTTTAAATAATTTTATTTGTTTTCATTTTTGTCTTTGAAAAATTATCATAGGTTTTCAACTTTAATCTTTCCAGATAATTAGGGAAATAACCTAGTACTCTATTATTTTATCAGTGGAACTTAAAGCTCAATGTATTCAGTGACTGAAGATAAAATAGTAACCATTTTCAAAATTACCGCCATTATAGGGATTTTCAGATTTGTGACTTAATTTTATATTTTAGGAAAGAAATCCAAAAAAATATGAGTTTATTAATACTGAAATGGGAAGAGGAGATATGATCAAGCAAATGATAAAGATGATATGTATACCGCTAATAATTCTGTGAAAAATGCAGAATATCACATAATAGCCTTTTAAAAGTACAGAATAAAATTAGATGTCATTCCCCCTCAAATAAACAAAGATTTTAAAAACTAATGGGACTAAATATAATGAAGGATGTAAGAAAACAGCCATTTCCATGGGCTGCTTATTGGGAGAAAAAATGTGTACAAAACTGTCAGAAGCTGTGAGAGAGCTCAAAAGTTATATCCTTTGACCAGAATGATTCTACCTCTTGAATTTAGAAATATCTAATATGCATCACAAAAATACATATATGAATGTTCATCACTGCTTTATTTTGTTAAAAACAACCAGAATACACATAAGTGTTGATAAAATAAATTCTTATACATCCCTGTAATGAAATATAAATCATATTATGAAGGAATATATAATGGATTAAAATATTCAAAATATATTTGAAGTGTAAAATGCCAGAGTAGAAAATAGTACATAGAATTTGCACCCTACCGCCTTTATACCCAAGTGTGAAGATGTGTGTGTATCACAATAGGAAATTCTTAATATTATGTCATATTTCCTGAGCTACTTACACATTTCTAAAATTATTTGAGGAAAACTAAACAAAACAAAAAAAAACCACATACTACAAAGTGAAGAGTCATCAAGAATAACAAAATGAAGCAAATATTCCTACAAAAGTTCCAGGCATTTCCTAACTGATCTCCTGGGAGAAACAAAAAAAAAAAAAAAAAAAAAAAGCATGCTACCTATATAGATAAGTAGAAGTTAACAAAGTCTGTTTTGTGTCGTTCATCCAATCCATGAAATGCTATTTTAACAGAAAATAGATTTCTTAAAAGTTATAATTCTTTAATTTTTAGCCTTTATTCTCCTTTTCTGAAATTCTGAAATCTCTGAGGCACTTGATTACAGTTTCAGTAAAATAGGAAGTACCACTTTTCTCCCTAGATTTCTCATTTCAAATATTAACACACAGGGTGGAATTTTTACCTCTTATTCATGGTGTCCAGCTCTCAACATCTTAACCTGGCAGAAGGACCAAACTAGCTGTAAATCTTCACCGAGACCACACTTGATTACTGTATGATGGGAAAATTAAACGTGAATAAAAGAGCTAGAGCATTAGGGTGTTCTTGGAAGAATAAACACAAGTTGGAAGTCTTATGTGGATAGTGCAAAGTACAGGAAGGCAATCAATCATGTAAACATCAAATGAAAGGTTGGTGAGGAAGCCATTGGAGTCTGTCAGGCGCTCTCTGCAATAAATGGCTTATTCCATTTCTTTTCCCTTTCACTCAGTTTAGAAAAATGAATTCTGTGGAATCTCTTAACATTCTAAAAGATTTTGTAAATGCTTATTCCTGTTTAAAGATATGCTTTGAACAGAATGAGCTCAACCAATTAAAGAGGAGTTTTAGTTTATATAAAAGGGACACAAACATGTCATGGTGCATACCTCCCTGACTTTTTCTGCTCTTCCCACAAACAGGAAACTGTTAAGGCAGCAATAATAGAAGAGCAGAAGCGAAGTGAAAAGGCTGTGGAAGAGGCAGTGAAAAGAACAAGAGATGAATTGATAGAGTATGTAAAAGAACAGAAAAGAGTAAGTATCCCCTGAAGGGTTTTCATTTGTCCTTCCATAAACTGAAACATTGGCTTTCATACAATAGCAGCACACTTAAAAATACTTAAAATGTCCTTTGTCATCTACTTAAGAGTCGCCAAGATTGTTTTTCTGGTATAATTATATATTCTGATAGTTGTATCTTCAAACATAAATCCCATCTGTCAACAAAAAAGCCACACTGAATAACTGCTTGCTGGACTCCTACAAATGATCTATATACAGCATTTCCAACTAAACTACCTCATGAAGAGAGTAGATAGTTTTAGATTTTTAGGTTCTTTGCCATAAGTTTGTTAATTTCTTATACTATTTGTTGAAATTTGCATACACCCTCTTGGCCTTCTAACTGTGTTAACACCACTGTGGTTCTAGTAGACTTCAGTACTGTTAGCAAGTTAAGGCCCTCTGTCATCGTTCCATTTCAGAAACATAATTCAGAATATACTTCTCAGAATTCAGAATACATATTGAAGCTTTTCAAAATAGATGTCATTTCAGTACAGTGTAGTCTTATTAATACAGGTGTTTGATGAATGGCCAAAAATAATGAGTCAAATGTAATTTGTAGTCTTTTCAACAAATGTTTAGTCTTCTTAAGTAATAATCAAGATAAGAAGCACTTAAGATGTTTAATGTAATATCTATAATAAACATCTTCTATTATAGTGTATAATAAGTTACATAATAACTTCTCATAAATATAATGTTTTATGTTTTATTTACATGTTTGGTATAACATGTTATATATTATAGAAGTAGTATGTAAAGATTATAAAATATTAGATACAAATGTATAATATAAATATTGTGTAGTATTTATCATGTGTGCTATATATAATAAAAACATAAATAAAACATAAAACTGTGTGTGTATGAGGAAACTTGACACATGAGATCTAAACTTAATTGGTGATCAAAATGGCAAAATAAATAGAAACTATAAGATTATGCTACAGCTGGCAGTTAAGTGGAAGGCTAGAAGTACAGTGAAAGTGCATGACACCAGCTTAATCCCACACTCTTAATTTGAAGTCAAATTTGGTATGATACAAAGAAAATTCTCACCCCTCAATAGCTACCATTATGTTTCAGCAAAGGAGAATTTGCCAGCAGAATAAAAATTGCTAATTAGGCTTTCCAGGTAAATCATCCATTCATAGAAGCACTTTGTGCGGAATTAAATTTTTGTGCATGTTATCCAGGTGTCTTTAAAAGCAGTTTCACCCAAATAAATAAAATAAAACCAGTAAATAGGTGCTTAACCTTCTGAAGAGAAAATTCTGAGCCAAAAATAGTCAATTGACTTCTCAGGAAGTGATATATTCTCAGAAAACTGCTATTTCCATATGTATCCCCAGAATGCTTATTTTAAATAGTCTGGTTTAAAAGTAGTCATGCAGCAAAGGAATTATAGATGCTTTCCACATATGTACAGCAATTGCAGAGTGAAAGAACATACATTTCAAATAAATTCAAGATGTCTTGTGGGTGCATCCTTTATCGGGTTTTCTCAATAATATATGACCAATCTTTACTTGGGGTCTAAATCTAAACAAGAGATTATAGAACAAAGCAAATCCATCTATACCGTTATTTTAGTATTTAATATTATTTAGTATTTTTGTATCAAAATGGAAGATTTCTCTTAAAACTCAAAATTATATTACTTTCTCATCAAAAGGAGTCATGTGGCCTCTATAAGAAATGTTTAAAATGAGAGCAAAAAAATGCCCTTATAGGAGTTATCTGGTCTCTGGTGAGCAAAGTAACCCTTGAAGAGAGCTGACAATGAATTCTGCCACTTTAATCTGTGTGTCGTTACAAATCCTGTTAAAGGATTAGTATTCATTTGTATTAGGTAAACCAGTTCTCCCATGTTAGAGACATTCATTAAATAACAACAGCAAAATCATGACAACATGTGATTCTGTTCGCACCAAAGTTCCACTTCTTCATGCCAGTTTTTGTATATGGTAAGTGGAATAAATCCAATACCTACCTTACAGAATTGTTATGAGTTAATACATATACTAAAATAGAACAGCTAAAGTAAGAATTCAGTCATATGTGCTATGATTTTTATCATTTTCACTATATTATTAAGAGAAAAAACAAACTCCTAGTAGCATTATTTTTTGTTAATTAAAAATGTACACTTTAGAAAGTTTAGAAACTTTCTTCTGAAGCTTACAGTGTGATTCTAAAAGGTTATTCCACTCTTGTTACTAGAATCACAGAAGATTAGGACTGATTTATTCAGTGTGCTAGCAGGAAGTTTATTACTTCCACTTGGAGATTTGGGAGGATTTTTTTTTTATAACACATTGTGGAATACTTTTAACATTTGAATGTTTCCATCTCTTAAACAGAAAAGCTATAAAAAAAGGAAAATGGATAAAATATCTGAAATGGAGGACCAACTATTTACTAGACCTCTTTTTTTATATCACTTTTTAAAAATTTAGATTCTCTGTACTCTTCTTCCTTCCAAAACTGTATTTCAGTGTTTCAAGTTAATTTGTATGAATATCTTTGGGCTTGGAAATTTTTCACAAAAAATAAGATATCTCATAGCTTACAAAGTCATAGTTAGAAGAAACAAAAGTTTTTTAGCAAATTCATAATCTTCTAGTCTCTTTCCAAAAGACTAAATTAGGGCAACTCATCTCTACTTCTTCCTTTGTAAGATGGATTTCTATTTGCATCAGAGAAGAACACTTTTCCAGAACAAAAATTTTCCTTTCTCCTCTCCAGCTTTTTTTAACTAGAGAGTCAACTTGAGATTTTTAGCATTAGACACCTCAAAAGCCCTATAGACTTTGCTTCCAACTGGGCTTACATTCCAGTCTGTGAAGTAATCCTCTCCTTTTGAAGTTTTCAGAAATCTTTGAAGGAAGAAGTCTAATGTTGTGTTAGTTCCTGTCTTTATATGCCTTTTGTCCTAAACAATTTTTCCTTTGACATCATCTTACCCTTTCCAAATTCACTAACAGACTAAAATGAAGACTCTTTTCCCTACATCTTTCCCTTCAGGTTTTTACTTTTAAAAGACAATGAACCATAGAAAAATCCAAATGCTTACCTTTTCAAATAACTTATAACTTGTCCTACGGTATAAGATGCAGTGGAATCACATTATCACCATAGAGGGTAATAGTGCTTTTTCCGCATATCTGCAGTCAACAGGTTTTTAATCAGTTACCTAACCCTTTTAAGTATTACAGGTACACTAAGAATTAAAATTATACAGGAATTGGAATTATACTGAGAAAATGTCTTTTAAATGCCATTTATTAGTCTTGTTTCAAATCAATGGAGAGATCACCAAATTTCTTAAATACTATTCATCTGGTCTGAACATCTTTGACAGGACAGAGGGGCTACCTATACATGTAATAATTAAGTGAATTATAATTTTCACTGAAACTGGGGCACCTGGGTGGCTCAGTCAGTTAAGGTCTGACTTCAGCTCAGCTTATGATCTCGCAGTTTGTGAGTTTGAGCCCCACGTTGGGCTCTGTGCAGACTCGGAGCCTGGAATCAGCTTTGGATTCTGTGTCCCCCTCTCTCTGCCCCTTGTACGCTTACACTGTCTCTCTCTCTCTCTCTCTCTCTCTCTCTCTCAAGTAACTATATAAATAAATAATAATTTACACTGAAATTGCATCCTAAATTATTTACTAAGTTGGCTACATAGTACTTATACTGTTAGTCCAATTTATATTAACAACCAAAAATTAGTATGGAATCAAAATTCCATACTAATGGAATCCAAACAAGGGGGCCTTTTTAAGTGATCAATCATAAAAATAATTCAAATTGATAATGGATCTATTCCAGTGATAAAAATGCCTTTAAGCATTGTAAATAATAGGGTTTTTATTTAATCCTCTGTAAAATCTATCTTGCTAATCTCAGAAAAAATAATTATTATATTGAAATCTCAGTTGGCATGGGATTGAAAAGCTAGTGTTTTGCAGCTTCAGCTCTTACAAATTTCTGTCAGTTGATAAAAATTGTCTAATTTTTAAATAAACCTAGAAATATTCACTATAATTTGTACAATCGCAAAGAAAAGGTAAATAAGATAATCTGAAAAGATTTTAAAAAATATTTGAGAATCAGCAAGGTACCTTCAAGTGTAGTGATTTGCACTGGAATGTATTTCATTAATGTATTTCATTAAAATTTAAATTTTGGTTTAAACTCTCTTGAATCATTATATATTCTACATAAGAGGTTGCAAGCTAAAGCCCCAGGTTCAAGTCTGGTTTGCTGCTTGTTTTGTAAATAAAGTTTTACTGAAACACACAGCATACGCATTTGTTTATGCATTGTTTTTAGCTGGTTTCATGCTGCAACAGCAGAGTAGTTTCAGAGGCTATCAGGACCATACAACGTAAAATATTTACCTTCTGGCCCTTTATAGAGAGAAGTTCATCAATGCCCATTCTAGACCATCAAAATCATCTTGTGGGGAAAACTTCTTCCTGTCAGGCCTTTAAAATATATATCTTTTCATTCTGCCTCACTGTAACTAGAAATTCTATAGGTGCCATCTGCAAAAGATTTCTCTACCGGTATTAATTGCCACATAAGGTATTATAATATATCAAATCCTGTGTTTAATGCCATAAACTTTATTTTAGACTAAAGGAGATTGTAGAAAATTGGGATAGGAAAGATCACATCCCTTGACTCTTCCCTGCAAAGGAAGAATTTGTGGTTTATAATGACCTATGGCCCTTGGATTAGAATGGAGTGTTCCTACCCATCCCACAAGTTAAGACTGTTACACATGAGCTTGCTATGAGGGAGGAAGTGTGAATAACATTCAGCAAGCAACAACTACTCACAGCCAAGCAGTGATTCCTAAAAAATAAAATCTTGTCCAAATGTAATAAAAGATTATTTTTTTTTCCTCTTAACCAGAATTATGGCTTGTATTTTCTAAATCACCTCCAGGAAAATAATCT